TAGGTGTGTGTATATATATATACATATATATATATATATTGTTTTGTTTTTTTCAGCCGACGAGTCCTAAATCCGTTGTGAGATTCATCCGTGCTGCAGTGAATCCGTCTCTCTTTATAGATTTCTCCCTCTTCTTCCTCACATCGTGTCTTTAGGAAACTTTCAAAACAAAAACGGAAGATTTAGGATGTATCTTACTTTTGACAGAGTGAAAGAATTTAGTCTTTACCACCTGTGTAAACTTTGCCGGTGAATGTTATAACACATAATATAAGTTTTATAATATGTGTTTCATTTCTAATATAGGCCCTTGTGTCAGATAATCTAAGCCAATGTTAGAAAATAATTATTTTTTTAGATTTACAGAATCTCAGTTAGCCTTCATAGCGGGGCTGAACCCATATCACACCAAGCACTGTAGCTAATATTAGCTGGTATCTCGCCGGTGGACATGAATACAGTAAAGTAATATTCTAATCACTATATATACACAATAATATGTCCATCTTACGTGTGAAATGTTGTCTGTGGAGCCCTCACATCAATAATACATAGATCCGAACAACAATATCCCATAGTGCTGAGGCATCTTCTGCTGTTTTGATTGAGCAAAGTAGGAGGGATGACCGCTCCAAGATGGCCGCCGTATTTCCTGCGCCGGAGCGGCCAATGCGGAGGCTACTCTTATGGGTGTGCTGCTTTAATATTAACTTTGCTAAATACTGTCTTGGTGCAGAGCTTTAGCGTTAGCTTCTGCTAAATACTTGGGTGATGTAATGATTTAGCATTAGCTTTGCCACATTCTATGTTGACGTAACGTTTAGCATATGTGGAACAAATGTTTGTGATTAGTGCTTTGGGGTTAGCGCTGCTAGCTTCTTAGTGAGGAATGCAGCCAGGGAGCTTCTGATTAGCAGGGAAAACTCATTCCTCCCCAGCTCTGCCTCCTTGTTCCTCAGTTGTTCCCCCCAGCAGGGCGTTTCCGTCCTTCAGCGCCGCCCTAGTGGCCATCTGGCTGTGAAGGGTCCAGGAGGCCTTCCAGGTGTTCCTGGGTTTAGGCCACATGGCCCAGTGAGGTCAGCCTGCTGGCGGGAGGCTCTTACTGCGGAGTCCGGACCCGTTCAGAACCTCACCTGGGTCTCATTACGGAGGCTGTAGGGGAAAGGCGCTCTCAGGCCAGAATCCCCGTGTTCCCGACAGATTCCCAGGTTTTATCATCAGGCAGTAAACGTGGCTCCCTCAGCAGCTTCTCGGCTAGGCGCTCCGATCGGACCGACTTGGAAACTCTGACGTCCTCCAGAACCGTCTGGGTCCAGTGGAGCGGAAAACCTCCCAGTCAGGATCATGTCTGGGGTTCTGCTGAGTGATGTAATGTCGTCATGAGTTTCCACTGAGTGATGAAACAAGAACCATCCAGAACATTCCTCACCGGACCCGGTCCATTGGTTCTGGTTCTCCTGTTTACATCAGAACTGGTTCTGAATGAAGTTTCATGGAGTCCACAGAACCTGGCATAAGTATTCACACCCTTTGGTCCGAACTTCCTGTCACAGAATTCTGCTTCCCAGCAAATTTTGTCCAACCGTTCAACCGATTCATTTTGGTTCCATTGAATCCGTTTTGGTTCCATTGGATCCATTTTCACTGGATCCGTTTTGGTTCCATTCTTGGAGTTTGGATCTTTTCTTGCCGTCTGTTTTCAGTGTTCAGGAAGCAGCAGAAGTTTTGCAACAATAGAAACCCAGAAACCTTGACGTTGATCCGGTTCTGTCTGGTTTTTATGGCTCCACTGTCCACTCTGTGACATCATTCTTTCCATTTTAAAGATATTTTCATCTGCCAGTAGATCTAACTGGTTCCTTTGTTTTGAAGAGACGATGGATTTTAAAAATGTTCTTGGCCACTGAGGAACTGGAAGACTGTAACTTTAAGCTTGAAAACATCTGGGATGTGGGGACAGAGTTTCACCAAGCGAACAAAATCAGATCTAGAACAAACATTTCTTTGAAAAGTGAACATAATCCTGAGGCCTAATGTTGATTAACTTTAGTAAAAATCAACATGTTGATTTCAGAGGCCGGGCCCGCTAAGAACCTGGTCACCAGCGACGTCAGCGCCTCCAGCTTCAGGGCGACCTGGACAGCGGCGCCCGGAAACGTCCAGGCCTACAAGGTCCGCTGGAAGTCCCTGTTCTCTGGGGAGCAGGGGGACAAAACCGTCCCAGGGGACCAGACATCCACTGTCCTGGACGGTCTGAGTCCAGAGACCCGCTACCAAGTGTCTGTTATCGCCGCCTACGACCAGAAAGACAGCGAGCCGCTGACCGGGCTGGAGACCACCGACGGTAAGAGGCTATCTATAAGCTAAAGGTTTAGCTGGCTCAATATATAGTTAGATGTCTAGCATGCTAAATACTTAGCTTCAAGCTAAATATTACATTAACAAACTAAATATTTAGCTTCAGGCTAAGCATTCAGCCTGAAGCTAAATATTTAGTCTCAAGCTAAATGAACCAGAAAAAGGAACAACAAACATTAAGCTAGCTGCACCGAGGCTATACCAGAGACAAAAAGACAGATTTTTATTTTCTAAAGCTACGGTGAGTCAGGACACACAATCTGGACGAACAAAAGTAAAAAGAGAATTATGACTACGATTATTTAATGTTGTAATTGTCATGAGTTGTAGTTAAGATGCTCCTTTATAAGGTGTCATTTGTAAAGTTAAACTGTCAAGAATTAACAGCAGTAATTTTCGTTATTTAGCCTATTATAAAAGATAAGACTGGGGATTAATTTTAGTCATATATTTACAATGTCATTCATTATTTTACAAATGTCACACCTTCAAGCTAAATATTTAGTTAGCAAGCTAAATATTTAACTCCAAAGGTTAGTTTCAAACAAATGTTTATCTCTGAGTTCATTATTTAGTTATTAAAGTAACTATGTAGTTTGAAGTTACATTAAATTTCCAGGTTGAAAGCTAAATTTTTACTTTGAAGATGGACGTTTATCAAGCTAAATATTTATCCATGGGCAATTAGCTTTGAGCTAAGTATTTAGCATAGAGGAAAGTACAGTTAGCGCTGTAATGTAGCGCTACGCAGAGCTAACGCAGTGAAACAAGTTTGATTAGAACATCAAGTGTCGCTCCAGCATAAAATTAGCATAAATAATTGTTGTGTCTTTTCTTTCTGAGAGCGGCTAATTCTCCATCTTTACCCCGCTGCTAAGCTAACCAGCTAAACATGACAGCTGTCAGAAAACCTGGAGCTGCTGCTGCGTTTCCACGGCTCTGCCTGGTGAAAACGTGTAGCTAGCAGGCTTGGTGCTAACGACACGCATTCATATCAATCTGTAGTTGATACAGATTGATATCTGTATCAACTACAGATT